AGGTTTCACTGGTAGACTGTAACTTGAAGGTGGGACTTAGGCCCCCTGAGGGGAGACTGGAGAGAACTTGTTCAACTTGTTTGGTTGATTGGTTTTTTTCTTTTCTACTTCTTTTGATTTCCTTTATTCTGATCTTTTAGAAATAATGAGACAACAGATCCTACTCTGTTATGTCTTTCTCCATAATTTTCAGCATGACTTTTCAGGTTGTTTTTTTTTTTCCCATTCCTTTGTTACTTTAATTCCTCTCCTTGTTTGTAGCAATGGCATGTGTGTCTTGTATCACTGTAGGTCTCATTGATCACTGATACAGGACATGGATGAAAACTTTTTTTCCAGTGAGACAAGCTGACAGGATGTGTAGAAGAAATTTTCTTTGCTTTTGCATATTTTGTAACTTCAGAAAGGCACAGTTAGGCTCATAGCAGTAAGATTTCAAAGGTTACCATCAGAATATTGTGTTCCTTTGTTGCAGCTTATATACTAGGTGGAATGGCAATAAACAGGTCAGTTCCAAAAGGAAATGAGATAAAAATTTTGCTTCTCTGAAATGTAAAATTAGAAGTGATTACATAGTAAAATCATCATTGTAGCCTTTTGAACTGCAGGCCATTAAAATGGATCAGGTAGAAGACTGAAAGAAGACATGGAGGACTTTGTCCTGGGGTGTTACATCAAAACATATTAAGGAAATCCTTTTATCCTGAATGACTGTGACTTTGGTATTGGGTAGGATGGCCTATGAGTGGCCTTTTCTTGGTGTTTAATAAATTTGTGTGTTACCACTTACTCTTCTTGTATATTGCAAGATGGAGAATTTCGCTGTAAAATAAAACTATAGAATTAGAAGCAGTGAAAGCAGGGTGGATTTTTTTTCATGTGTGTCATATAAGCTGAGCCCTCTTGCCTACCAACAGAGAATGAGAACAGAAGCCAGGATGTTTATACCAATTGATACTGTCTCATTAAAATTCAATGTTTTATATTTTACCTTTCAGTTTGCTTTAAGGTCACTTAATTTTTGTTACTTCCCTTTATAATAAGCTAAGAACAGAATGTTGCTGAATACACTGAAATAGATGTATATTTTTTAAGGTTGGCATTTAAACAGACAAAGGATCACGCTTAATGCTGCTGTGATAATAAATAGTACTATAATTGATTGTTGATAGAAACCCTTAAAATATATTTTTATGGTTGAAATGTACTTTGGATAAACAGTGTTCAGTTTGCCTATTAAAATAATTCACTATATACCATGGTTTCTTTGAGTATTAAGGAAGTAGGACTTTTCCAACAACAGTAATTGGTTGACACTGCTTGACCTTAATGCAAAGCTACAGTATTTAATGAACAAACGGAGGGAATAAAGTTTTGATAAATAAGGCAATTTTCATGAAACCTTTAGAAATATGCTTGAAGTCTTTTAGTGTTAGATTGACGGTTTCTCCTTTTGTGAAAAGAATAAGTGAATAATTTAAGGCTATATTTCATGTTTTCAGATCTTCATTCTGTCATATAAATAATAGACTGTGAAATGCAGCAGCTCCTGCATTCACAGATTTAATAGACCTGTACAAGTGAGTATCTTGCTTGGCTTCTGGCATCTTAAAATGCTCTTTTGTGTGTATGTATACCTGAGAAGCAATACAAAAGTGGGACTCTCTTCAAATTCCATACTTTGAACATGCCACATATTCGGTTTTTAAAGGAATCGTTCTTAAAATATTTAATTACATCTTGATGTCAGGTTTTACTTCTGTATTATGATGGACACACATCAAAAAAGCAGTACATGGCTATTTGAAATTAAAGTCTAATTTAAAATTTACTTACTTAACGAGAGACTGTGGGACAAGCATTCAGGTTTGAATCCCTCAGCATAAATATTAGAAATACCATTGAATCTTGATGAGAAATTAACAAATGTATTTACTAAAACAGTGAAATATCAAAGTAATTTGTTTTGTTTATTACATGTATTCTTAGTTATGTAATTTTTTAAAATGGAAGCAGTATTGGGGGAGGAACAACAGACAATAATAAAATTAGACTATTAGTTTATTTTCTTTGCTCCCATTCCCTTTTCCTCCTCCTGCCCTTTAGTTTAATGTATTGTGAAAGGAGAGTGAAGTAAGGCTTACTGAGAACAAGTGGCAAAGCATTGGGATGTTTTCATGTTCTCAGTCTTCCAAGCAGAACATATTTTTGTGACTAGTGGACCATGGGTAGCACAAAAACTTCTTTGGAAGGTATGTGCTATTGTACCTGTTTATTACCTTGAAAAAGTACTTCCCTAAACACTTCCATTTACAGTTTTAAGTCAGATTACCTGCATTTTCTTCCTGATACCTATTCCTTTAAACATTGGAGTAATTCTAGTTATTAGGAATCTTCTACTAGCATATGATACTGAACTCCTGCTCTCCTCCATCGTGTGTAGGAATAGAGGCATTTGTGCAAGTAAGGAAATACCTTAATTCCTATATTGAAGATTGCTTTCTGTAAATGATGTTCAAGACGTCTGACAGTTGGTCTGCATTTGCCATGGTATTGATTTATGCAGTCCTCATGTAGGTTCCAGAAATGTCTAGTAGGTATCCTTCAAAGTGAGCTGTCTACGTGAGGTTGCCATCACTTTTGCTAAAATACAGGCAGATTCTGTTAGTGCTTACTAATAGTTTAGCTCATGTAGTAAAGTTACTTTTTCTTACTTTTCAAGAAAAATAGTCTTTACATCTTTTGTCATGGTAATAAAAATCTTAACATAATAGTCTATTCTGTTTCATAAGTTACTCTGGTAACTTTTTAATGTCTTTATATTTTTTCATTTTCTGAGATGATTTTCTTCATATTCACAGTAAGTCTGTCTTTTGATTTCAGCTAGGCCAACTGCTGAAATTGAGATCATACTTTTCCTGTTCTCCCTAGTCTGTCCGACTTGTTTGTAACTCAGAAAACATCAGTGCAGGCATAGAGACCATTTTGCAGTCTAACTTGTTGAAAAAACTGTCAAAACTGTATGAATCACACAAAAATCTTTGTGCTGAACTGGTGTGAAACACATTGTCATCACCTCTGTTTTCAGAACTTACACAGAGTAATATTTTCTATTTATTTTGCTGCATGAACATTATTTAAGCCATTGGCTGAGGATGTTTCTGTTGTTTCGCTAAGAATTGACAGGATTAGTGTCTTAAATATATTGATTATATTAAACCAACCAGTCACCTATTGGGTCCACCTGTGACTGAGTTGGCTTGTGATACTCGAGCAATGCATTTGTGGTTGTTCATTGTTGCTTCAGTACAAGACTGTGGTCTCACTGTAGCTCTGCAAATATACACATACAGAGTTTGGGTGGAAATGCAGGAAGGAGAGTATAAAAAGCAAAGGAAGGCAGTGGGAATGCAGCACAGCAAAAGATGCTTTGCTAGTGGCTAAATGGATACATTTGCTAATGCTGATGATTTCTTTTAAATTCTGAAATGGTTAAATGTTCTTTATTTAGTCAGTGTGGCTTTTTTTTTTAATTTGTTAACACCTATAGAAATTAGAAAGAACAGTAGTTATGACAAATGGACTATGTAATTTGAAAATTGTATTTTGTCACATGTTTTAGTCACAAAACCAAGTTGAAATCAATTGTCCAAACATTCACTTAACATATTAATAAGTAATACAGGAATGCTCTAAGCCCTCTTGAATTAGATATATTACATCTTGTTACAAAATTTAATGCCAGGCTTAATAACTCAAAGTATGCTCTAGAATAAAAATACATTTATGTGCTAGTATGTTGTAATTAGAATGCTAATCCAAATTACAAAAAAAAACCTAAACCCACTATTCAGTTGGAACTGTTTTATATACTGAAGAGTAGACAATTACCTTTAATTTAATATCTTAAAAAAGAAATCCCAGTTTTTATATTTTTTTACAAGTGGGTATGCTTTTTGTGGTATATTTCTAAATATTACAACACTGTAATATTACAGTGTCAGATCAGCCACAACACTGCTTGGATTTCAGGAGCTGTTTGGGTATTTACTTGCAAAATCAGTGTCATTTAGGACTTTTAAAAAATGTGTCTAGGTGGTTGTGTTTGTACATTTTCTGGTGATAACACTATAGAAAAGAACCACCTTTTCAAAAAGGGAAGATGGTGTTTCCAATTCAACTCTCTTAGCTTTGCATATTTGTAACAGGAAAAATTATTTTAAAATATAATTTTATCTGTCGTGAATAGACTTTAATCATCATACAGTAGCTGAAAAATTCTGCATAAATATATTTTGAAGAGGGTTTGTTTGAAGGTTTTTTTGGTGGTGTGATTTGAACAGTTAAAGGAGAGTTAATAAAAGATAGATGGCTGATAAGTTGCTGATGTTTTATTTGCTAAATTTTTTTTCAAACAATAATCTTCAACATTTTTAGTGTGTATGTAACCTGTAGATCCAGCTGTAGTGTGCTGTTGAACCCTATACGACTTCTTATGGTCTTATCAATAATGATTGAGCAACTTTCTAGAAAATAGATCTAAAATACCAAATCACAAAAATTTGTAAGTTACATGTTTTTAAGAAGTTAATTCACAGGAGGAGAAATTGAAAGTAATGCTCAGAAATAGGCAAGAATCACATGTTGATAAAAATTTCAGGTTGAGTACTGAATAAGTCTCCATAATTCTCAAATTGTTGGAGTTGTTTGTCTGCCATAATTGTCATAATAGAAATAAATAAATAAAACCACATGAACTTATTTTGCATGTTGTTTCTATCTGTCCTGATACATGATTATGTGAAATACAATACTTACTTCACTTGAAAATAAATACTTAAGCTAATTTCTGTCACTTTTGTTTTTGTTATATTGAAATGTCCAGAAGAAATGCAGTGACTTATGTCTTGAATCCTTAACTTGAACCTGTTAGATCAAATAAAAAACGAAAACTATTTTTAGATTTTTTTTCATTAAATATATTTATTCTCCATCTGTAGGTCAGTTCCAGAAGTCTGGTACCAGGACTGCCACTCCAGCTTCCTCATTGCTTCTGGTGCCTGGGGCATATCCCAACGCTGTTTGCCTGTTGAATGTGTGGAGAGTCTCCTTCTGAAGACAAGTATCTCCTTTGTGTTTGAGCACCTGCCACTATGTGAGTTTATTTTTTTGTATTTAAAAAAAAAAAAAAAACAATCGGAGCTTGCCTCATTTTCATTAATGTCATAGTTACACATTTAACATTTATAAAAATATTTGTGATGTGTCTCCTGCAATTGTCCAAAAACCATTTTTATAGCATTTCTGTATCAAAAGAAATCTTGCTTTACAAATATAGGTTCTTTTCTCCCCAGTTAGCTGCATTAAATTTTAAAAGACAAGTGAAAATAGTGACTGTGGTATTTGGTTTTAAAACTGAGGGATAACTGTACTGCAGTCTGCTTCCCACAGAACTGGTGAAACATAGACCGTGTCAGTGGGAGCTTTTCTTTGCTTTTTCCCATAATGTGCCCCAAGTCCCGACCTGAAGGGGCAATTCACTCTCTAATTTAAACCTCTCCTTAACATTAACAACATGGCAGTGTTTAGTAATGATACAGTGTTTACTGTTAAAGACTTGCCAATTTGGCCTTAAATAGCTAGACTATATTACCTCAATTTGCCATATTCCCTCTGTTTAGTTTGGAATTACCTTGCAAATGCTAAGGTGATAGTGTTGAATTGTGTAAAGGAATTATAAATTGGAAATCCTAGCAATGTGGATTTTAAGTTCTGGTGTTGATCTAAAGAAACACACTAGTTTAAGTAGTTAAAGGTCAGTAAACTCGCTTTAACAGGTACTTTTTTTTTTGTTAGTGACTTCCATCAGTGCCTTTAATTAGTTCTTTTCCCTTCCTATTCTCTGGATATTTTAAAATTCCTTTCTGAAGTGATTTTTTTATACATATATGAGCTTGTATATGTAGTTTCAGTACCTTTTAAGTGTAGTTAGTTTTTTCCAGTGTTGCAATAAAGTACAGAACACTACGCAGTGCATTAAAGAAATAGAGCCTATGCATCAGAACAATTTTCATGCCTCACTCAATTCTTAATGTAAATTAGTAGGAACATTGGTTATCCATTTGAGAAATTGAGTTGGTATAAAAATAAAAATGCACTTATGGTATGTGGTGCTTTGTGTATCATCTTGGGAGTGTTTTGCTGTTTATCTGTCACTTGCATTAGAAAAAGCAGTCACTGGCTGCAGGTGACATTAAAAATTAAAGGTTAACCTCAATTTCTTTACTGACCAGACGTGGGGCAGAAAGTTCTTCTGGATGTGTGCCTGGATTTTGGAGCTGTCAAATAGAGTTGAGAAGTAAAGACTGGTGCTTTTGATGGCTTAGTCTTTTTGTGTGTGCACGGGGTTTGATTTCACCATTTCCAAGTGTTTAGACTGCTTCTGATAGGTTATATCCAGATCATTTTCCATTGCATCCAACTTTGTGAAATTAAAAAATTACATGATAACACTATAGTATGTAATTACAATGAACTCATTTTACTGATCTACATAATTCTAGGAATGTCTTTTTATTTTGTGGCTTAGAAAAACTAATTACAATAGCTGTCTATCCTATTACTAGAGAATACGTGTCTTTCAAAAACTAGTTAAAATTGTTCTTGAAAATTGCCTTAGAAGCTTTTGAATATTCTGGTTTACTCATTTACATGTAATGTAAGACAAGCTTTATATACTCATGAACAAACCTGGGAGATCTTTAAGTTTTTGACAAACTCGACTTCACCCTCATAGTGCCTTCAAGGTGAGCCAAGTTCAGTAGCGTGAGCTTCCCTTTGGAGTCTATCACTCCAAATGTTGGAGGCAACATTGAAGCTAGTGAAGAAGGCAGCAGGGATTTCCATGTAATCTGCCATATTTGGCACATTACATGGAAAGAGGTGTTGTGCTTATTCAGTGGTAGACCAGTCTACAGGCAAGTCTTGACCTTTGAGATGCAACTTGAAGCTGTGGCTGCTGCTCTTACCTTCCATTTCAGCTCTTAATTTTCTTAGCCACGCAGTGAGTAGATCTGGTACTTCTTGTTGGCTAATAAGGGGAAATGAGAAGGGAAGAAAGAAAAATTAATTTTTTTTTTGTAAAATAGACTGCTAAAATGCATATTTTTTTTCTTCCCCATCCTCTGTTTACCAAACAGTGAATCTCTTCTGTCCGTGGCTGTTTTCCCCTTTTACAGCTCTTCATACAAGAAAACAGGAAAACAAGAAAATTAGAAGTTTCATTAAAGAAAGCAATGCATATTGATAATTTAGAAAAGAACACTGCAATTGATATATTTGAGGAACCCTAGTATTTCAGATGTGTATAATCTTATAAAAATTATATTTCTATGTGCTTGCTTCATAGTAAGTGTGGCACAGTTGTTTCAGGACTGGTATACTGTAGATTGTTCTGACTACAAATTAAATAATGTTAAGAATTCTTTGGTGGGAAAGTGATAATGCTCATTTAGTGTGCTTTACTTATTATTTCTAATTTGTTAAACCTTTAAGACAGATAATTTCTCTGAAGACAAAATATTTTTAAATGCTAGTTACTTATTTTCCTGTAGTTCCCGCTGCTTGAAATTTTTCCAGTGTTCTCTGAGATTGGTTTCACTTAATACTTGGTTTCTTGTGTTTCAGATATTTTTATGTTGACATAATACTGAAACGGGTCAAACAGTTTCAATATTGAAGTGATTTATAAAGAAACTGAAATACTATATGGCTTTAAACATAGTTCCTTTGACTTAGGGAATAGTTAAATCCCATATAATAGTTGGTAATTGTTGGCTTGCAGCCTGGTTCTAAAGTCTTTGTTTTACAAACTTGGTTATGAAGCATCAAGAAAACTGAATGTTGGGTTTTTTTCAGATGAAATATCTCAGGTAATTAAATACTTAAGGAATTTATAATTTGCTTGTAATTTGAAATACAGTGCTTTCTAAGAAGAAATCTTTAAGTGATTTTATGTATTGTCTTACAGGCTCTAGAATAGGTAACGTTATAATTTGGCAGTTAATTTAAATATAAGTAAACTTCTATATCAGTCTAAAACACACTGTTGATTTGCAACTGTATTACAGATGGCATTTTTTCTTAAATAGTACAATAATCTGTGTTTTGTGGAGCAAGTGAATTACCTATTTGTTACACTGTTAATGCAGCTTGTAGAGGTCATCACACATCTGCATGAGCAGAACATATAAGTATTTTAAAAATCCAACACCAATTCAAACCACCCAGTTCATTGCAGTGTTTCTGTTGTTGCTGTTCCTACAGAGTTGGTGGTCCATTGGCTTGTGTTTAGTTTATGGCTGAATTGCAGAGAAGGGCTCAAGAAAGATATGCATAAGATAAGAATTTATTTCTCAGATCCAGCAAAACTTGCAGGAGGTGCAGTTTCAAATGGTGGAAGAACAGGTCCAGGATCAAAAGTTATTTTGCAAAGCACTACAATCAGGTCATATCAGTTCCCCTTGAGGGCACAGAGTATCAAGTCAGGACTAGTAATTACCATAGCGTTATTTTCAGTAGCTGTCTGATTCTCCTGGTGAGGACTAGTGGTACTGTGTGCTATTAGCCCATTCTCTTCAGACATCCTTCTTGCTTCTCCTCTTTGTACCATGTTAGATTACCTACTTTATGTGGTTGACAAATTCGGTACTGCTTCACATCCTTGTTCAAGTTTCCTCTGGCAGTGGTCTTTGTGCACTGCATCTCCCTTGCCTTTGCCCCTGCCCCTGTGGCAAATGTTGCCCCATTTCCGTCCTGAGCCTCCTTTTGGGGCAGCATGACTCTGAAGCCTGAGCTGGCCATGGTCAGAGCCCAGCTGATTCTGGCAGAGCATTTTCATTGTACTTGGTGCTTGTAGTTCGTCTTCATTTTAACCATGAAACTACCCTTGCCAGTGCAAAGGAAGAACTAACTTCTGCCTTTCAGTACTTTAAAGTGGGCTTTCTAACAAAAATGGATAGAGATTTATACCAGAGCCTCTAGGGATTTAGGCCTCTAAAAGTAAAGGATGGTACATTTAGATGAAATCTAAGCAAGAAATTCTTTACAATTAGGATGTTGAGACACGGAAATAGGTTGCCCAGAGAAAGGCAGATGCCCCATCCCTGGAAGTGTTCAGGGCCAGGTTGGATAGGACTTCAAGCAACCCAGTCTAGTAGATGTTCACCTCTCTGCCCATGACAAGAGGCTGAACTAGGTGTTCTTTAGAGGTTCTTTGCAATCCAAACCAGTCTGTGATTCTACTTGAGCAGAGCAGCTTCTTGCCTTTATTATAGCTGGTATGTCTCTTACATAGTTACATTATATAGTGTTTCCTCTGCATTTTGTTGACTTTCAAACTTTTTCAGAGACATTGCAGTGGTTACAAGTTGTATTGATTGAACCTGGTCAAAAGACTGTAATTTGTGGTTTGGTTTGGTTTGGTTTTGTTTTCAGCAAGAGATAAGTGCTCCCTTATATGATCATAAATCCTAATCAAAACTTGTTGAAAAGGATTTGTTAAAATTCTTCTTAAAGGATTAAAAGTGGCAGCCTTAAGCATATCTGCATGAAGAAAACGAGGGAAGAAACCGTTGGGTTGCCAGCAGTGTATAAACCAAGATTTGTTAACCAAGGTGTTAGAAAAGAGCAAGATTGTAATGATATTTTGGTGTATTTGAAGTGATCCTCCTACCATAGATGTGGCAGTCACGGACAGTTGTCTGTGATGTGTTTAAAGCTGTGATAATGTTCCAGTAAAGTTTTAAGGACAAAAAAAATTTCTAAAATATTTGCTCTAATTTTCCTTAAAGGGAAGAGATGCTATTTCATGGCTATCCTTGACTCTCTTTTCTTTCCCTCTGTTCCTCCTGAAAAAATTCTGTGGGACTTATAGAACACTTTGCTTCCAGGACAAATTCTAAAGGAAGTTCACAGAATTTTAGTGGGTTTTGCTCTTAAGTTATATGGATTTAAATGTCTAAACATGTACTGAATGATATTGACAGGTACCAGTGTAGATGCCAGCCGTGTGCAGTTGGAGTCCTGTACTAGGGACTGATCAGCAATGCAAGCAGCAGCATTTCTCAGTTGTTGTGACTGGCCAGCATTTGTAAT